CATCCTTCATAGTGCCAGCACTGTACTTCCCACCACCATAACTACACCATCCCTCCCATCCTTCATAGTGCCAGTACTGTACTTCCCACCACCATAACTACACCATCCCTCCCATCCTTCATAGTGCCAGTACTGTACTTCCCACCACCATAACCACACCATCCCTCCCATCCTTCATAGTGCCAGCACTGTACTTCCCACCACCATAACTACACCATCCCTCCCATCCTTCATAGTGCCAGTACTGTACTTCCCACCACCATAACCACACCATCCCTCCCATCCTTCATAGTGTCAGCACTGTACTTCCCACCACCATAACCACACCGTCTCTCTCATCCTTCATAGTGCCAGCACTGTACTTCCCACCACCATAACCACACCATTCCTCCCATCCTTCATAGTGTCAGCACTGTACTTCCCACCACCATAACCACACCGTCTCTCTCATCCTTCATAGTGCCAGCACTGTACTTCCCACCACCATAACCACACCATCCCTCCCATCCTTCATAGTGTCAGCACTGTACTTCCCACCACCATAACCACACCGTCTCTCTCATCCTTCATAGTGCCAGTACTGTACTTCCCACCACCATAACTACACCGTCCCTCTGATCCTTCATAGTGCCAGTACTGTAATTCCCACCACCATAACCACACCATTCCTCTCATCCTTCATAGTGCCAGTACTGTACTTCCCACCACCATAACCACACCATCCCTCCCATCCTTCATAGTGCCAGTACTGTAATTCCCACCACCATAACCACACCATCTCTCCCATCCTTCATAGTGCCAGTACTGTACTTCCCACCACCATAACCACACCATCCCTCCCATCCTTCATAGTGCCGGTACTGTACTTCCCACCACCATAACCACACCATCCCTCCCATCCTTCATAGTGCCAGTACTGTACTTCCCACCACCATAACCACACCATCCCTCCCATCCTTCATAGTGCCAGCACTGTACTTCCCACCACCATAACCACACCATCCCTCCCATCCTTCATAGTGCCAGCACTGTACTTCCCACCACCATAACCACACCATCCCTCCCATCCTTCATAGTGCCAGCACTGTACTTCCCACCACCATAACCACACCATCCCTCCCATCCTTCATAGTGCCAGCACTGTACTTCCCACCACCATAACTATACCGTCCCTCCCATCCTTCATAGTGCCAGCACTGTACCTCCTACCACCATAACTACACCGTCCCTCCCAACCTTCATAGTGCCAGCACTGTACTTCCCACCACCATAACTATACCGTCCCTCCCATCCTTCATAGTGCCAGCACTGTACCTCCTACCACCATAACTATACCGTCCCTCCCATCCTTCATAGTGCCAGCACTGTACTTCCCACCACCATAACTACACCGTCCCTCCCATCCTTCATAGTGCCAGCACTGTACTTCCTACCACCATAACTACACCGTCCCTCCCAACCTTCATAGTGCCAGCACTGTACCTCCTACCACCATAACTACACCGTCCCTCCCATCCTTCATAGTGCCAGCACTGTACTTCCTACCACCATAACTACACCGTCCCTCCCAACCTTCATAGTGCCAGCACTGTACCTCCTACCACCATAACTACACCGTCCCTCCCAACCTTCATAGTGCCAGCACTGTACCTCCTACCACCATAACTACACCGTCCCTCCCATCCTTCATAGTGCCAGCACTGTACCTCCTACCACCATAACTACACCGTCCCTCCCACCCTTCATAGTGCTAGCACTGTACCTCCTACCACCATAACTACACCGTCCCTCCCATCCTTCATAGTGCCAGCACTGTACCTCCTACCACCATAACTACACCGTCCCTCCCATCCTTCATAGTGCCAGCACTGTACTTCCTACCACCATAACTACACCGTCCCTCCCATCCTTCATAGTGCCAGCACTGTACCTCCTACCACCATAACTACACCGTCCCTCCCATCCTTCATAGTGCTAGCACTGTACCTCCTACCACTATAACTACACCGTCCCTCCCATCCTTCATAGTGCCAGCACTGTACCTCCTACCACCATAACTACACCGTCCCTCCCATCCTTCATAGTGCCAGCACTCTACTTCCCATCTGCTTTAAACAAGAAAATGAACTCAGACAAACTTCTCACTAGATGATCATTAAGGTGAATTAAATACAGCAACGACTACAGTACGTGTTCCTGAGGGACCCCGCTAGTTATACACTCCCACTCTAACACCAATATTCTTTCTCCTGTTCTTCACTGTTACTTTCTGTTTTACTCCCGCTAGCTTCTTTATTAATCTCAAGAGAGTTGCTGTATGGATATTATTCTTGAGGCAAGAAATTGCAACCCTGCCACCTCTTCCTCTTCCGTTATCTCTCTCTCTCTCTCTCTCTCTCTCTCTCTCTCTCGTAAAGCTCCTGAAGGTTTGTGAGACAGGATTTTCCCTCTCTGAATCTATGTTTGGATTTTCAAGCAAATCCCCGTCTCTCTAGGTGCTCTACGAGCCTTCATGTAACTCTCCTCGCTAGAGCTTGCTAGAGCTTGTATACGTGTCAGTGATATAGGACTCTAGTGCCAGCTGCTTCCTCCCTTGGAAGACGGGACCAAGGTGGTAAGCCTTTTGCAGAGTTCTGGCAGCTGGCCTTGTGTGATGTGTTGAGGTGTGTGTGTGTGTATGTGTGACGTGCTGAGGTGTGTGTGTGTGTGTGTGATGTGTTGAGGTGTGTGTGTGTGTGTGATGTGTTGAGGTGTGTGTGTGTGTGATGTGTTGAGGTGTGGTGTGTGTGTGTGTGTGTGATGTGTTGAGGTGTGTGTGTGTGTGTTTGTGTGATGTGTTGAGGTGTGTCTTTGTGATGTGTTGAGGTGGTGTGGTGTGTGTGTGATGTGTTGAGGTGTGTGTGTGTGTGTGATGTGTTGAGGTTGTGTGTGTGTGTGATGTGTTGAGGTGTGTGTGTGGTGTTTGTGTGATGTGTTGAGGTGTGTGTGTGTGTGGTGTGATGTGTTGAGGTGTGTGTTTGTGTGATGTGTTGAGGTGTGGTGTGTGTGATGTGTTGAGGTGTTGGTGTGTGTTGTGTGTGTGTTGGTGTGTGTGTGTGTTGAGGTGTGTGTGTTGTGTGTGTTGAGGTGTGGTGTGTTGAGTGTTGAGGTGTGTGTGTGTGTGTGATGTGTTGAGGTGTTGTGGTGTGTTGTGTGATGTGTTGAGGTGTGGTGTGTGTTGTGTGATGTGTTGAGGTGTGTGTGTGTGTGTGTGTGTGATGTGTTGAGGTGTGTGTGTGTGTGTGTGTGTGATGTGTTGAGGTGTGTGTGTGTGTGTGTGTGTGATGTGTTGAGGTGTGTGTGTGTGTGTGTGTTGAGGTGTGTTGGTGATGTAGGTGTGTGTGTGTTGTTTGTGTGATGTGTTGAGGTGTGTGTGTGATTGTGTGTATGTATATTGACAGGTGTGATCGTGATTATATGTTATGTGCACTTTCAGATGATGTAATCTGTAATTATTTTACGTGGTAAATGGTATAGGATCTATCACCTCTGTCACTAAACAGTTACATCACCTCTGTCACAAAATTAATTATCTACCTTGTACAACATTGAACTATCACTCTTGTACTTAAACATAACTATCACCTTGGTCACAAACATTATCTATCACCTCTGTCACAAACATTAACTATCACCTCTGTCACAAACATTAACTATCACCTCTGTCACAAACATTAACTATCACCTCTGTCACAAACATTAACTCATCACCTCTGTCACAAACATTAACCATCACCTCTGTCACAAACATTAACTATCACCTCTGTCACAAACATTAACTATCACCTCTGTCACAAACATTAACTATCACCTCTGTCACAAACATTAACCATCACCTCTGTCACAAACATTAACCATCACCTCTGTCACAAACATTAACTATCACCTCTGTCACAAACATTAACTATCACCTCTGTCACAAACATTAACTATCACCTCTGTCACAAACATTAACCATCACCTCTGTCACAAACATTAACTATCACCTCTGTCACAAACATTAACCATCACCTCTGTCACAAACATTAACCATCACCTCTGTCACAAACATTAACCATCACCTCTGTCACAAACATTAACTATCACCTCTGTCACAAACATTAACTATCACCTCTGTCACAAACATTAACTATCACCTCTGTCACAAACATTAACCATCACCTCTGTCACAAACATTAACCATCACCTCTGTCACAAACATTAACTATCACCTCTGTCACAAAAATTAACCATCACCTCTGTCACAAACTTTAACCATCACCTCTGTCACAAACATTAACCATCACCTCTGTCACAAACATTAACCATCATCTTTGTCACAAACATTAACCATCACCTCTGTCACAAACATTAACCATCACCTCTGTCACAAAGATTAACCATCACCTCTGTCACAAAGATTAACCATCACCTCTGTCACAAACATTAACCATCATCTTTGTCACAAACATTAACCATCATCTTTGTCACAAACATTAACCATCATCTTTGTCACAAACATTAACCATCACCTCTGTCACAAACATTAACCATCATCTTTGTCACAAACATTAACCATCATCTTTGTCACAAACATTAACCATCACCTCTGTCACAAAGATTAACCATCACCTCTGTCACAAACATTAACCATCATCTTTGTCACAAACATTAACCATCATCTTTGTCACAAACATTAACCATCACCTCTGTCATCTCCTGTACTAACATAGGTGTTTTCTTCCTCCACAGGGGAAGGGTATTGGTATACTAACATAGATGTTTTCTTCCTCCACAGGGGAAGGGTATGGGTATACTAACATAGATGTTTTCTTCCTCCACAGGGGAAGGGTATGGGTATACTAACATAGATGTTTTCTTCCTCCACAGGGGATGGGTATGGGTATACTAACATAGATATTTTCTTCCTCCACAGGGGAAGGGTATGGGTATACTAACATAGATGTTTTCTTCCTCCACAGGGGAAGGGGTATGGGTACTCTCCTCCGTCTGCTGTGTTCGACGATGATCCAGGAATCATGTCGGAAGCTGAAACCTCGTCAACAGGCTTCAGGAGGGGAGGGAAGCAGAGGGCTTCCCTCCCTGTCTCCAGGACGCCCTCCACCAAGACTCTGGACAGTAGAAACTTTGGTAAGTTACTCCTACCAACTTTCTATCTACTCTTTCAATAATTTATTCTCTATGTAACATTTTAACTTTGGTCGCTTCATGTATCCTTGTACCTGTTGCCCCTCCTACTTACCTCGCAATAATTAGCTGCTTGGCTGTTAGTCGTCTTGCACCAGCTGTCCATGTTCACGTAGCAGTAAATAGGTACCCGGTTGTTAAGTCTTCTTAATGCTGTCGACCTTTTTCATCATGCAGTGAATAGTTTTCTGACTGTAAGTTTTCTTACTCTTTCTGACCATGTTCACCATGTAGTAAGTAGGTACCTGTGACCATGTTCACCATGTAGTAAGTAGGTACCTGGCTATTATTATTATTATTATTCCTGTGACCATGTTCACCACGTAGTAAGTAGGTACCTGGCTATTATTATTATTATTCCTGTGACCATGTTCACCATGTAGTAAGTAGGTACCTGGCTATTATTATTATTCCTGTGGCCTTGTTCACCATGTAGTATGTAGGTACCTGGCTATTATTATTATTATTCCTGTGACCTTGTTCACCACGCAGTGAATAGGTACCTGGCTGTTATTCACAGTTATGAGTGGCATCCTGAGGAGCATACCTTTGATTTGTCAGGACTTGTAAATGACCTGAGGCAGGATAGCAACACTTAACTTGTAAATGACCTGAGGCAGGATAACAACACTTAACTTGTAAATGACCTGAGGCAGGATAACAACACTTAACTTGTAAATGATCTGAGGCAGGATAGCAACACTTAACTTGTAAATGACCTGAGGCAGGATAACAACACTTAACTTGTAAATGACCTGAGGCAGGATAGCAACACTTAACTTGTAAATGACCTGAGGCAGGATAGCAACACTTAACTTGTAAATGACCTGAGGCAGGATAACAACACTTAACTTGTAAATGATCTGAGGCAGGATAACAGCACTTAACTTGTATATGATCTGAGGCAGGATAACAACACTTAACTTGTATATGATCTGAGGCAGGATAACAGCACTTAACTTGTAAATGATCTGAGGCAGGATAACAACACTTAACTTGTAAATGATCTGAGGCAGGATAACAACACTTAACTTGTATATGATCTGAGGCAGGATAGCAACACTTAACTTGTAAATGACCTGAGGCAGGATAACAACACTTAACTTGTAAATGATCTGAGGCAGGATAGCAACACTTAACTTGTAAATGACCTGAGGCAGGATAGCAACACTTAACTTGTAAATGATCTGAGGCAGGATAGCAACACTTAACTTGTAAATGATCTGAGGCAGGATAACAACACTTAACTTGTAAATGATCTGAGGCAGGATAGCAACACTTAACTTGTAAATGATCTGAGGCAGGATAACAACACTTAACTTATAAATGATCTGAGGCAGGATAACAACACTTAACTTGTATATGATCTGAGGCAGGATAGCAACACTTAACTTGTAAATGATCTGAGGCAGGATAACAACACTTAACTTGTAAATGATCTGAGGCAGGATAGCAACACTTAACTTGTAAATGATCTGAGGCAGGATAACAACACTTAACTTGTAAATGATCTGAGGCAGGATAACAACACTTAACTTGTATATGATCTGAGGCAGGATAGCAACACTTAACTTGTAAATGATCTGAGGCAGGATAACAACACTTAACTTGTAAATGATCTGAGGCAGGATAGCAACACTTAACTTGTAAATGATCTGAGGCAGGATAACAGCACTTAGCTTGTAAATGATCTGAGGCAGGATAGCAACACTTAACTTGTAAATGATCTGAGGCAGGATAACAGCACTTAGCTTGTAAATGATCTGAGGCAGGATAGCAACACTTAACTTGTAAATGATCTGAGGCAGGATAACAGCACTTAGCTTGTAAATGATCTGAGGCAGGATAGCAACACTTAACTTGTAAATGATCTGAGGCAGGATAACAGCACTTAGCTTGTATATGATCTGAGGCAGGATAACAGCACTTAGCTTGTAAATGATCTGAGGCAGGATAGCAACACTTAACTTGTAAATGATCTGAGGCAGGATAACAGCACTTAGCTTGTATATGATCTGAGGCAGGATAACAGCACTTAGCTTGTAAATGATCTGAGGCAGGATAGCAACACTTAACTTGTAAATGATCTGAGGCAGGATAGCAACACTTAACTTGTAAATGATCTGAGGCAGGATAACAACACTTAACTTGTAAATGATCTGAAGCAGGATAACAACACTTAACTTGTAAATGATCTGAGGCAGGATAACAACACTTAACTTGTAAATGATCTGAAGCAGGATAAAAAACACTTAACTTGTAAATGATCTGAGGCAGGATAACAACACTTAACTTGTAAATGATCTGAGGCAGGATAACACACTTAACTTGTAATGATCTGAGGCAGGATAACACACTTAACTTGTAATGATCTGAGGCAGGATAACACATTAACTTGTATATGATCTGAGGCAGGATAAACACTTAACTTGTAATGATCTGAGGCAGGATAACAACATTAACTTGTATATGATCTGAGGCAGGATAACAACACTTAACTTGTATATGATTGAGGCAGGATAACAACACTTAAATTGTAAATGATCTGAGGCAGGATAACAACACTTAATTGTATATGATCTGAGGCAGGATAACAACACTTAACTTGTAAATGATCTGAGGCAGGATAACAACACTTAACTTGTAAATGATCTGAGGCAGGATAACAACACTTAACTTGTAAATGATCTGAGGCAGGATAGCAACACTTAACTTGTATATGATCTGAGGCAGGATAGCAACACTTAACTTGTAAATGATCTGAGGCAGGATAACAACACTTAACTTGTAAATGATCTGAGGCAGGATAACAGCACTTAACTTGTAAATGATCTGAGGCAGGATAACAACACTTGTAAATGATCTGAGGCAGGATAACAACACTTAACTTGTATATGATCTGAGGCAGGATAACAACACTTAACTTGTAAATGATCTGAGGCAGGATAACAACACTTAACTTGTAAATGATCTGAGGCAGGATAACAGCACTTAACTTGTAAATGTACATTATATACATACAGATATACATTGAAATAGAAACATGTATAAATACATGCATACATATTTACAAACGTACATGTAATTACAGATATATTCATACGTTCATATACGTTCATTCACAAATACATAGGTACAAACGTTCGTACATACAAGTTTACATACATACGTTCAGGCACATACGTTCATGAATCTGTACATACGTTCATGTATACATACGTTCATACGTATATATATATACAACGTTCATTATTATATATATATATATATAAAAATATATATTAATATATATATAATTATATATATATCAATCACACACAGACATATATACATGCATAAATTCACAGGTGCATATATAGCACTTTCTGAGAGGAGTGTTACCCTCTCTTGTGTTTCCTGTGCTCTAATACTCTCTTTGTCTTGTTCTCTTTTATTACTTTCTTTGTCCATCTGTCTTGTGGTCTTTTCTTCATGTGTTTATGCATGTTTGTGTGTGTATGTGTGTACTCACCTAAACTTGGTTGCAGGGGTCGATTCATAGCTCCTGTCCCCGCCTCTTCACTGGTCGCTACTAGGGTGTGTGTGTCTGTAAAGGTTTTTACAATTCCCAACGTGTGTAAATGTCGATGGCAGCTTGGTTGTAAATACTGTTGTAAATCCTGGTTGTAAATAGTGTTGCCCCAGTATTGTTATTTACAGCCGAGTGTCGTCGCCGCCGTCGCTCGACGCGCCTCAAAACTGTTATTTACAGCCGAGTGTCGTCGCGCCGCCGTCGCTCGACGCGCCTCAAAACATGTTTATTTACAGGCGAGTGTCGTCGCCGCGCGCCGCTCGACGCGCCTCAAAACTGTTATTTACAGCCGAGTGTCGTCGCCGCCGTCGCTCGACGCGCCTCAAAACTGTTATTTACAGCCGAGTGTCGTCGCCGCCGTCGCTCGACGCGCCTCAAAACTGTTATTTACAGGCGAGTGTCGTCGCCGCCGTCGCTCGACGCGCCTCAAAACTGTTATTTACAGGCGAGTGTCGTCGCCGCCGTCGCTCGACGCGCCTCAAAACTGTTATTTACAGTCGAGTGTCGTCGCCGCCGTCGCTCGACGCGCCTCAAAACTGTTATTTACAGGCGAGTGTCGTCGCCGCCGTCGCTCGACGCGCCTCAAAACTGTTATTTACAGGCAAGTGTCGTCGCCGCCGTCGCTCGACGCGCCTCAAAACTGTTATTTACAGGCGAGTGTCGTCGCCGCCGTCGCTCGACGCGCCTCAAAACTGTTATTTACAGTCGAGTGTCGTCGCCGCCGTCGCTCGACGCGCCTCAAAACTGTTATTTACAGGCGAGTGTCGTCGCCGCCGTCGCTCGACGCGCCTCAAAACTGTTATTTACAGGCGAGTGTCGTCGCCGCCGTCGCTCGACGCGCCTCAAAACTGTTATTTACAGGCGAGTGTCGTCGCCGCCGTCGCTCGACGCGCCTCAAAACTGTTATTTACAGGCGAGTGTCGTCGCCGCCGTCGCTCGACGCGCCTCAAAACTGTTATTTACAGGCGAGTGTCGTCGCCGCCGTCGCTCGACGCGCCTCAAAACTGTTATTTACAGCCGAGTGTCGTCGCCGCCGTCGCTCGAGCGCGCCTCAAAACTGTTATTTACAGCCGAGTGTCGTCGCCGCCGTCGCTCGACGCGCCTCAAAAAACTGTTATTTACAGGCGAGTGTCGTCGCCGCCGTCGCTCGACGCGCCTCAAAACTGTTATTTACAGGCGAGTGTCGTCGCCGCCGTCGCTCGACGCGCCTCAAAATTGTTATTTACAGCCGAGTGTCGTCGCCGCCGTCGCTCGACGCGCCTCAAAACTGTTATTTACAGCCGAGTGTCGTCGCCGCCGTCGCTCGACGCGCCTCAAAACTCACAAATTCTCCTGATCGTTTCAAAATCTAGTCACAAAAGGGATTTTTTTT